AGAGAGCTTGGCACCACTGCTGAGATTCTTGGCGGGGCCTTTGGTCATGTGCAGAGAGTGTCTCGAGAGGTGGGTCACCTGCTGGCCCCAGAAGCTCGAGAGAAGGCAACGGATCAGCACAACGCCAATCGCTAATTCTCGGGCGTTGATGTTGATGGCCCCTCACAACGTTTAGCCTTGAGCCAAAAAGGCTTGAGGACAACTTCTACGGACTTCCTCCTCCTCCGCCGCCTCTTCCTCCTTTTCCTTTTCCTCCTCCTCCTCATCCTTCTCCTCCTCCTCCTCCTCCTTCTCCTCCTCCTCCTCCTCCTTCTCCTCCGCCTCCTCCTCCTCCTAGTCCTACTCCTCCTCCCACTCCTCCTCCCACTCCTCTCCTTCACCGTATCCGTGTACAGCCTCTTTTGTTCAAAGGGGTACAATTTGCGCGGTCATCACTATGAGCGTGGATGCCACGGTCTCAGATGGCCTCGCTGGCACGAGGGGCGTGAGCCTGAGCGTGAAGTCCGCAATGACGGATTTCGGGGTCCTCTCGCCCAGAGCCCTCAGGCGATCCACTGGCGCCGAGGCCAGCTCGCGGGGCTCCCAGCAAGAGGCCGAGCCCTGGGAGGAGAAGCTCGACCGGTCGGAGAGGGACATCTGCGCCGCTCTGCAGCCGAGCGTCCCCGCAGTCACCCTCGTGCTGCCGAGGCCGGACCCAGCCTCGTTCGCCGCCCAGTTGGCGCAGCCGGGCTACCGCCCGCTCGTGCAGGGTCGTCGGGTGCTGCCACGGGTGACCTTGGCCCAAGGTGGCCCCAGCTGTACCAGGGAAGCCCGGACGAGCGGGCCGACTGGGCCAGCATTTGCGCGCCGGCTGCCCGCGTAGGGTTGCGGATACTGAAACGCCATACTTGTCACGCTGTGTGCCTCGCTGGCGGCGTGCGTTGGCCACTGCGTAAGGTTGCCGTGCCGTCGCGAGTAGCTGAGATGGCCTGGGCACCCTGCGGGACGCCTAGAGGGCCCTGGGGGATTTCCAAGATGGCGCGAAGAGCCGAGGGCACCCCTGGCCGAGATCGCTCCTTGCAAGCTCCGAGGTCTGCCGCCACGGGACGAGCCCCGCCTCCCTGCGGTGGCCGCCGCCCCCTCGGCGCGGGCCGCGTGGCCGGGTGGCCCGCGGGCTGCGGCGTCGCTGGGGCACCAGCTGGCCTGGCCTCTGATCGCCGCCGCGGCCTCGGCCTGCCTGGCGGTCGGGGTCGGCCACCTGCGGCTCGGGCTGCTCGCCGGCCCCGCGCTGGCCGCCTCGGCGTCCGCCTGCCTGTGCACGCTCGGGCTGCCCACCGCCAGAGTGCACAACCGCACCCACCGTTTCGGGATCGCGCCCCAGGGGGCCGCGAGGAGTGGTGGGTCCAGACATCCGCCCGCCCACCTGCGGGCTGGGGTTCGTGTCTGTATCCAACGCTGCCCATGGGACCCGCGGGCGGGGCCCCAGGCGTTGTGGATGTGGGTGCTTCCTGGCGGTGCAGGTTGGCCAGGACGTGGCGTGACCGCGCGGATGCGAATTTTGGGATGCTGTCCAGGTCGATCTGCAAGGCCAGGGATGCGGCAGCACGGTCCGTGGATGCCGTGGAGGGCCTGCTGTTGCGGCCAGTCCAACGGCTGCAGGGCCTCGTGGACGTCATGGTGGAAGAGCAGCAGCCGGCCTTCGCGAGAATGCAGGAGCATGAGGCCGCGCTGAAGGAGCAGGGTTCTGACCCAACCTGGCGGGCGCCCAACCCCGCGTCACTCAAGCGGCCCTTGTGCGGCCCGCGCGGCTGCCTCGTCTCGCTCCGGCGCGAGCTGCGAGAGGTGAGGCACGAGCTCTTGGAGTATTTCGACCAGTCGATGAGCTCGCAGCTTTCCGGCAGGATCGCCACCGAGCACGCCGCCTTCGAGCGGTATGTCGTGCACTTGCCAGTGTTCGCCGCTCTGACCTTGAACATGACGCTCTCGGTTGTCCAGGTGGTGCTGGCCGCAGGGCTGGCAGCCCCCGGCACCTCTGAGGTAGCCAGTGCCCCAGTCGGTCCTCGCCCAGCTAACATTGCGGCGGTGTTGGCGCCCGCAACTAGGCGCCTCCTGAACAGTGGCGCCACTGATAGCGGACCGGGAGAGGAGATTCTGCAGTGCCTCAGGCCCGCCGTCGTGCAGGCTGCGCTGTGCCTCGCGCAGGTGGCCGCCGCCTTCGCGCTCTCGCGCGGACCACCTGCCTGTGCAGTGGCCATCGCGAAGATCTCCAGCCTGGAGGTTGAGCTCAACACCCGCGTCAACAGGTTCCAGGAGCAGGTGAGCGGCGTGACAACATGGAGTCGGGCGCGCGGAGATTTGATCGCAGGGTGCTACTCCAGTATACTCTCGCGCGCAAGCGCCCCCTTTCCCCACGTGGTGTGCCGCGTTGGCGGCCTCCTGTAAGCCACCGCGTAGTGCCACCGTACCCGTGTGCGTAAGGCGCCTCTTCCGTTGTTGTTCAGGTGCTGGAGTTCGAACTGGGCCCCGCGTTCGCAGACGTCAAGGCGGAGGCCGCGCTCTTCTTCCCGCAATTCAGAGAATGCATGCGAAGGCTCAGGGTGGATGCGCAGCGCAAGCGTCGTGCCGACAAGCTGCACGACCTGGAGAAGCAGGCCATGAGGCTCGGCTTCTGAGCGCCCCGCAGCGGCCCATGTCCGCAGAAGTCGGGACGGAGCCTGCGCCTTTCTCCCTACAGGTCGGAGACTGCCTGCAGAGGCCCCGAGCGGCCGACAGCCTGTACATAGGGCCTCGAGAGGCGGGCCGCGAGGATCGGCTGAGCGCCCCGCGGCGGCCCTGCGCGGGCGGCCTGCCGACCAATGCTTCGCTTCCCCTTCGGTCGGCCGCGAGCTGCGGAGTGGCGCAGGAGGGGGGGCGGCCTCCTGGGAAGGCATGGGGGCTCCCCAGGAAGCCCCCACGATTTCCCAGAAGCCTTCCCAGGCCCACAGGCCCACTGGGCGGGGCCCCGCGGATCGTCTCCCGACCTGGCCGGGAGCCGATGGCCCAGAGTGGGCCCGAGCTGGCCTGGTGCTCGTGAATTTTTACCCGACGCCCCTCCGATAAGCCCCCCGGCCCCTTGTGGAGGCCCCCGCAGCCCCCCCCCCCAGAAGGCCGCACCCTCCGCCCCAACTCCCGGTCGGCCGGCCGTCCCAAGGGCCAGGAAGCCCAGGAGCTGGCAATGCAGCCGCAGCCCCCTCCGCGGGCCAGGTGGCAGGCGCAACCATACCCGGCTCGAGGATCGCTCTGAAATGTTGGACACCTTCGGCGTTTTCTGCACACCTGGGGCTCTCAGGGGTCCTCCAGGGAATTCTGGAGCTGCGCTGGCCTCTGGAGGCCTCCACCCAGCTCCTGGCCGTGTTTGTTGTTGCTCCGCTTCCCGAGGGTGTATTCGGTTGCCCTTCCCCCCCATGCAGGCTCTGAGAGTGGCCAGCCGACCTCCGCCATGTATCATTGTTGCTCTTCTTCGCCTCCTCATCCCCCCTCCTTCTCCATCCTTCCACCTCCTCCTGCCTCTTGCCCTTCTCTAATCCTTTTGTGGCATCATCCTTCATCCGCCCTCTATCTTCATTGTTCTTCATATTTTCTCCATTCGCCTCGTTGGTCCCCATCGTCTGTGCTCCACATCCCTCGTTCCTTCAAATGGTTTCTCGAAAATTCATGCAAACTCTCCTTCTTTGTCCTCCCGTCTTCCTCGTCCTCCCATCTCTCCCCCTTGCCCGTTCTCCCTCACACCTTCCTCCCATCGCCTGCATCACTCCACTCCGATTCTCTCCTCCCCCCCTCCCCTCCCTCCTCTCTGTCTGCCGTTTCCCCCTCCCCCCTCCCTCCTTCTCCAATCCCTCATCCCTCCTACTCGCTCCTCCCTCCTTCCCTCCACGCCCCGCCCCTCCCTGCTGCCTCGTTCCCTCAATGCCAGACGCTTCGCGTAAGCCCACCAGCCTGGTCACTCTTGCCCACGGTACCTGAGCTCGAATGCGCTTGCTTCGTGCTCCGCGTTCCTGGTAGCCCGCCGCCTCCTGGGTTGGCCCGGCAGTGGAAACGCTCCGCTAGGTTGATGCGTGGTTTGCAGATACAGAGCTGATCATGCCCTCCTGGCGTGCAGGACTTAATTCCCTTCTGGCGTTTTGGAGCCATTCACTCGCATGGTGCATCAGCTACCCTGGCCGTTCGCAGTCAGCTCAGCCAGCTCCCCTTCAGCCCGCAGCCCCACCGGCGGCTGCTTCTGAGTGCGGGCGCGGCCGCTGTGTTTTTCGGCTTGCGCGTTGCTATTTTGACAGGCCCGTGGCCCAGACCTCTCAGCTCGGCGACTGCGAATCCGCGTCCGCCCGCGACCAAAATTATCCCGGCAAAGCAACCAAACAGCGATGTGTAGAAGCATATCTGGAAGCATTCCCCTTAAGATTCAGATGAGAATCCAGTTGTAGAATTCTGCTGTTCTCGCAGACGTAGTCGCATTCGCGATGACCGTCGCAGTCACAGCCTCAGCCTCAGCCTGCCTCGGCCTCAGCCTCAGCCTGCCTCAGCCTCAGTCTGCCTCAGCCTCGGCCTCAGCCTGCTTCAGCCTCAGCATCAATCTGCCTTCAAACTCGGCCTCAGCCTCTGGCTGCCTCAGCCTCAGCCTGCATCAGCCTCAGCCTCAGCCTCAGCCTGCCTCTGCATCAGCCTGCCTCAGCCTCAGCCTCAGCCTCAGCCTGCCTCTGCCTAAGCGTCAGCCTCCTTCAGCCTCAGCCTCAGTCTGCCGTCGGCCTCGGCCTCAGCCTCAGCCTGCCTCAGCCTCAGCCTGCATCAGCCTGCCTCAGCCTCAGCCTCGGCCTCAGCATCAGCCTGCCTCAGCCTCAGCCTCAGCCTCAGCCTGCCTCTGCCTAAGCCTCAGCCTCCTTCAGCCTCAGCCTCAGTCTGCCGTCGGCCTCGGCCTCAGCCTCAGCCTGCCTCAGCCTCAGCCTGCATCAGCCTCAGCATCAGCCTGCCTCAGCCTCAGCCTCAGCCGGCCTCAGCCTCAGCCTCAGCCTCAGCCTGCCTCAGCCTCAGCCTCAGCCTGCCTCAGTCTCAGCCTCAGTCTGCCTGCAGCCTCGGCCTCAGCCTCAGCCTGCCTCAGCCTCAGCCTGCATGAGCCTCAGCCTCAGCTTCAGCCTGCCTCAGCATCAGCCTGCCTCAGCCTCAGCCTCAGCCTCAGCCTGCCTCAGCCTCAGCCTCAGCCTCAGCCGCCCAGCCTCAGCTAGCCTCGTTCAGCCTGCGCAAAACGTCGAGCCTCAGCATCAGCCTGCCTCAGCCTCAGCCTCAGCCTGCCTCAGCCTCAGCCTCAGCCTGCTTCAGCCTCAGCCTTAATCTGCCTTCAGCCTCGGCCTCAGCCTCAGCCTGCCTCAGCCTCAGCCGGCCTCAGCCTCAGCCTCAGCCTGCTTCAGCCTCAGCCTCAGTCTGCCTTCAGCCTCGGCCTCAGCCTCAGCCTGCCTCAGCCTCAGCCTGCATCAGCCTCAGCCTCAGCCTCAGCCTGCCTCAGCATCAGCCTGCCTCAGCCTCTGCCTCAGCCTCAGCCTCAGCCTCAGCCTGCCTCAGCCTCAGCCTCAGCCTGCATCAGCCTCAGCCTCAGTCTGCCTTCAGCCTCGGCCTCAGCCTCAGCCTGCCTCAGCCTCAGCCTGCATCAGCCTCAGCCTCAGCCTCAGCCTGCCTCAGCATCAGCCTGCCTCAGCCTCAGCCCCAGCCTGCCTCAGCCTCAGCCTCAGCCTGCTTCAGCCTCAGCCTCAGTCTGCCTTCAGCCTCGGCTCACTCAGTCGTCGGTTCTCAGCCGCATTCCAGCCTCAGACGCCTTCTTCAGGCCTGTCCAGCTCAGCCTGCAAGCTCGAGCCTCAGCCTCATCAGCCTGCCTCAGCCTCAGCCTCAGCCTCAGCCTTCAGCTTCAGCCTCAGCCTCAGTCTGCCTTCAGCCTCGGCCTCAGCCTCAGCCTGCCTCAGCCTCAGCCTGCATCAGCCTCCAGCCTCAGCCTCAGCCTGCCTGAGCATCAGCGCCTCAGCCTCAGCCTCAGCCTGCCTCAGCCTCAGCCTCAGCCTGCTTCAGCCTCAGCCTCAGTCCTGCCTTCAGCCTCGGCCTCAGCCTCAGGCCTGCCTCAGCCTCAGCCTGCCTCAGCCTCAGCCTCAGCCTGCTTCAGCCTCAGCCTCAGTCTGCCTTCAGCCTCGGCCTCAGCCTCAGCCTGCCTTAGCCTCAGCCTGCACAGCCTCAGCCTCAGCCTCAGCCTGCCTCAGCATCAGCCTGCCTCAGCCTCAGCCTCAGCCTGCCTCAGCCTCAGCCTCAGCCTGCTTCAGCCTCAGCCTCAGTCTGCCTTCAGCCTCGGCCTCAGCCTCAGCCTGCCTCAGCCTCAGTCTGCCTTCAGCCTCGGCCTCAGCCCCAGCCTGCCTCAGCATCAGCCTCAGCCTGCCTCAGCCTCAGCCTGTCTCAGCATCAGCCTCACCCTCAGCCTGCTTCAGCCTCAGCCTCAGCCTGCCTTCAGTTCGGCCTCAGCCTCAGGCTGCCTCAGCCTCAGCCTGCATCAGCCTCAGCCTCAGCCTCAGCCTGCCTCAGCATCAGACAGCTCCAGCCTCAGCCTCAGCCTGCCTCAGCCCCAGCTTGCCTCAGCCTGCCTTCGGCCTCGGCCTCAGCCTCAGCCTGCCTCAGCCTCAGCTTGTCTCAGCCTCAGCATGAGCTTGCCTCAGCATTCAAAATGTGGCCCAGGAATGCGGTCCTGGGAACTCGAAGAACACGAAATGGCCTACAGTTGGTTCCGGGCATTCAAAAACATGCCCAGGAATTGAGTTCTGAGAACTCGAAGACCACGAAGTGGCCTACAGTTGGCTCTGGGCATTCGAAATCATGCCCAGGAATGGAGTTCTGGGAACTCGAAGACCACGAAGTGGCCTACAGTTGGCTCCGGGCTTACAAAAGCATGCCCAGAAATGGAGTTCTGGGGATTCGCAGAACACGAAGTGGCCTACAGTTGGTCCAAGGCATTCAGAATCATGCCCAGGAATGGAGTTCTGGGAATTCGAAGACCACGAAGTGCGCTACTGTTTGTCGAAAAAAGAGTCCCCGGATTCCCGCAGCAGCCGTCCAGATCCCGCCCAGACCCCCCTGGGGCGTCAAGATGTTTTCTTTTGGCCCCACTAGAAACCTACCAGTCTTCGCTGTTAGGTAAAAATTACCCCGGCAAAGCAACCTAACAGCGATGTGTAGAAGCATAGCTGGAAGCATTGCCTTTGATAGTTATGTAGGAGTCCTGTTGTAGAATTCTGGTGTTCTGGCAGTCGCATTCGCATTCGCAATGGCAGTCGCAGCGGCAACGTCAGTCGCAGTCGCAGTCGCAGTGGCACTGCCAGTAGTTGCAGTAGCCATTTCCAAACCAGCAGCAACAACAGCAGCAGCAGCAGTAAGAGTAACAGTAGTAGTAGTAGTAGTAGTAGTAGTAGTAGTAGTAGTAGTAGTAGTAGTAGTAGAAGTAGTAGTAGTAGTAGTAGTAGTAGTAGTAGTAGTAGTAGTAGTAGTAGTAGCAGTAGCAGCAGCAGCAGCAGCAGCAGCAGCAGTAGTAGTAGTAGTAGTAGTAGTAGTAGCAGTAGCAGCAGCAGCAGCAGTAGTAGTAGTAGGAGTAGTAGTCGTAGCTGTAGTAGTAGTAGTAGTAGTAGTAGTAGTAGTAGTAGTAGTAGTAGTAGTAGTAGTAGTAGTAGTAGTAGTAGTAGTGGTAGAAGTAGTAGTGGTGGTGGTGGTGGTGGTGGTGGTGGTGGTGGTGGTAGTGGTAGTAGTGGTAGGAGTGAAGTGGTAGTTGTAGCGGTTGTAGTGAACGAGTAGTAGTAATGGGAGCAATAGGAGTAGCAGTAGAAACACGAACAGCCTGCAGCCGGCCTCCGCCATGAGAAACAAGACGCGCTTCCGATACTCCGCCTCGCCTTCGTGGTTCTGCTGCTTGTGCCGCGCAAAGTCCTCCTCCGCGATGAAGACGCACTCGCAGAGCTGGCATACGAGGGGCCCCGTCAGGACAGGCCTGTCCGAGAAGACGCGCAGCTGGTCCCCCTCCACCTCTCTGCCGGGAGCGTAGCGGCTCTTCCCTTCGGGAGCGGCCGACGCACTGCGCACCCGCTCCGCGTACCGCTGCACGAAGTCCTCGTGCTGCGCAGACTGGCTGGACACCAGTTCCTAGTATCCGGCGAGGCGCCGCAGGAGTACCTTAGTCCGGATGCCGCTCTCCAGCATGAGCAGGTCCTGGTCGATCTTGCTCTGCGCCTCGTCTGCAAACCCTTCCATGGGGTTTGGAAGG